AGTTAACTAAACGAAACGAAGAGAGAGAGAGAGAGAGAGAGAGGGCTTTGTAACAGGCACAAAGCAAAGAGGCGATAGAGGAGAGAAACTTAGGGTTAGGGTTTGGATTTAGAGAGAGGGTTATGCATTTTGAGTGAAGGAAAAGTTAGAGAAAGAAAATGGGTACTTTTTTATTTGCCTTCACCCAAAGAGAGAAAGAGACGATTGTTCGGCCTTTTAATTAGGCTTTTTAGAGAGAGATTGAATTTTAAGAGAGATAATGAGATATTGGGTTTTTAGAGAGAAAGTGTTTTTAAAAAAAATAAAATAAAATTGGGATTTAGAGAGAGAGTATAAGTTTTTAGAGATGGAAACAGATATTGAGTTTGTAGAGAGAAAAATAAATATTGGGTTTGTTGAAAGAGAACCAGATATTGAGTTTCTAAAAAGAGAAAAAGTTCGAGAGAGAAAAATTGGGTTTTTAAAAAAAGCATGGCTCCATCCAATGGCAATCCTAATTGCATGTCATATGTTTGTTGATTTTTCTAGTTAAGTTAAAAACTCAATTCCCATACCACATCAGCTCTATTTAATTATGAAAACCAGAAAAATCCACAGTATTTAAGGTGAAAATAAACAAAGAAAAAAAGAATAAAAAAAGGGCCATGGGAAGAATGTGGTTGGCACTGGGAGTCTCAAGCTACAGTATAAAAAAACCGGGCCGGCCCGGTTCTAGTGGCCAATTGCGAGCCTAGCCAAAGGCCTTACGGGCTACGCGAGAGCGTGTATCAGTTGTCCTTGTAAGCATTTAATGCTTTTACACTTTACAAACAACCAAAGCTATTAACTCTCCCTTCCATGCTTCTCTCTCTAGACTTTAACCAACTAAACATCTTTCTGGATCCAGGAAGGAGAACCCATCACCCACGGGGGAGCGCACCAATCCTATGCTCAATACCACCAAAAGATGCCATTTCCCTTCCCCTCTGCTAACGGTTTTGCAGGGGTCGGGTTGTGGTATGAGAGAGAAAACGAGTATAGGTTGGTTGCCTAGAGAGAGAAACAAGTGTCCGGTCCGGTTCAGTGAGTGCATTCAACTTGTAAGATTTGGGTTGGTGCAGGAGCGGCTGAATCTCATGGAAATCGTCCTTGCAGCACCCGCATCTCAGACCCTGCGCGGCCTGCCTCGCATTCAATGCGCGTCAGTCCCCATTTGAGAGAGAGAGAGGGAATCGTTAGAGAGAGAGAATGTTAATTTTGGAGCGGCTGTTTCCAGTCTTGTAAGACAATGATTACAGCACGAGTAAATAACCTAATCATGCCCCTTGATTTGACCTTTTCATTTAATTTAATCCTGCTGTGTGACATTTGCCCTCACACTCTCTGAGCAACGAGTTGCACTCCCATGGCGAGAATAGGAGCAGGACCCAAAAGGAGGTCATAATAAATGGCCAGAGATATTCGAGCAGGCTCTGCCTCTTAAAGAGGAGCTTAAGCTGCGTTCAGGCTTGTTTTAGAGGCTTTGCTTTTGGGGTCGTTTCTTTGGATTGATTGTTAATGGTGAGGAAATGGGTGATAAAGGAGATATGATGAAACAGTCTTCTTCTTTTAAAGAACCACAACCACAGGAGGAGCTCCACCACCAATATCAGCTGCAACGCCACCAAAAACAGCAGCACCGGGAGTTTTGTGTTCCGGTGCCGCCGGCTTCCGCCAACATTCCATCTCCATACACCCCCAAAACCCTAGCCCACAGAGAAGAGGCAGAGCGGTGTGAGCCAAGCCCTAAGAGACCGAGATATCCCGTCCATCAGTGGAAACTCATCCCTGCGACCATGGCCGCACCCGCTTCCACACAACAGCAAGTCGTGGGTTACAGCACCAGCGGCTCCAGTCCACAAGCTCATGTCTCAGCAGTGGCGGGCTCGTCTTCGCCCGCCCCCTCCTCCCCTTCATCCTCACCTCGACCCTCTTTCTCTGCGGGCTCTGGTCAAGATCAAGCAAAGCCCACACAATTTCTTCAGATTCGAAAAGGGAAGTTTGTGAGCCCTGTTTGGAAGCCAAACGAAATGCTGTGGCTGGCTAGAGCATGGCGTCAACAATATTGCGGGGGCGACACATCGGAAGTTAGTGGGTCTTCTGCAAGAGCAAAGACGAGGGCGGAGAAGGATAAGCAGGTGGCGGAGTTTTTGAGCAGGCATGGAGTAAACCGCGACGCCAAGACATCGGGGACAAAGTGGGATAACATGTTGGGTGAGTTCAGGAAGGTGTACGAGTGGGAGAAAGGAGGGGAGAACGAGAAGGTGGGGAAGAGTTACTTCAGGCTGTCACCTTACGAAAGGAAGATGCACAGGTTGCCTGCTTCCTTCGATGAGGATGTGTTCGAGGAGATGGCGCAGTTCATGGCGGCGAGAGGTAGGGGATTGCCTGCCTGTAAAGCTTCCACCGGTGAGGGTGGTGGTGCTAGAGATCAGCAGCTTCTCCGACCTACAGAAATGGTTAGGAATTCCGACGAAGGCGAGTCACCTGGTTCGTATTCATAAACACTCTCACAATGAACCTTGTTCTTTTCCATTGCTCTAATGTCATGGCGGTTGTTTTCTTTTGGCAGTATCAAAGCAGCGAGCTATTTTGGCCAGGAACCAGACCGGTCTCATTGCGGGAACGACCCAGAGCAGCGCAATGGAAGAGGCCGGGTGCCGAGAAATGAGGCGAGTGGGGAAGATGAGGATGTTATGGGAAGAGTCTGTGACACTCTGGGCGGAGGAAGGAGAGCAAGAAGGGAGGGGGCGGATAAAGATGGACAACTTGGGCTTCTTGAACGTCAACCAGCTTACCTTCTTCGACGACACCATGGCCGCGAACTCCATGGAGGGCCTCGACGACGGCCCGCTCAGTGGCTTTTCAGCGGACACTTTCGCCTGTGACCAGCAACTCAGGGTTTTTGGCCGCCGAAACTCTTCCGCCGGTGAGTGTCTGAAGCCTTCACTCATTTTTGGAGAACTAAGCTGAGTATTTCCTGTATTGACACCGTGTCGCATTATTTTTCCAGGTCACTCCGAAGCCGCACAGCCGCAGCCGTCATTAGCAGAACCCTGCATGCGCTGTGAGTCGTAAATTGTAAAAATGCTTTTCTCTGAATATTTAAAAAAAAAAAAAATTCAATTTTATGCGATCCTTAGAAATATTAAAATTTTACAGCTAACTCTAAAATTTCTAACTGAAAGATGTTTAATTTTCAACTGAAAAATGTTCAATTTTTAACTGAAAAATGTTTAATTTTTACCGCTACCTCTTACACATAAAATGTATTGTTATTGACTTTGTTAGATTGTGGTTTAATCATATTTTTAAATGAAAAATGTTATAGACCCTCTTATTTGTGGTTTATCTCCTTTTTCAAAAGTTGTGTTTCTAATTATTAAATTTCTTTTAAACGTCCCTTCATCCTTTCCATGAGTTCATCTATTTTCTAGTTAGTCACCTGTTGCCGTTCAATTTTGCTTCACATTTGTTACCTGTTGCCGCTCAATTTTGCTTCACATTTGTTACCTGTTGCCGCTCAATTTTGCTTCACATTTGTTACCTGTTGCCGCTCAATTTTGCTTCGCATTTGTTACCTGTTGCCGCTCAATTTTGCTTCACATTTGTTTCCTGTTGCCGCTCAATTTTGCTTCATATTTGTTTCCAGTTGCCGCTCAATTTTGCTTCACATTTGTTACCTGCTTTGTAGTTTTTGAGTTGATTTTAGATGTCCCTCTTTTTGTTTTGTTTGTTGGACAGCTATCATACGGTTTATACCTTTCTTATTCTCAAATTTTCAAATCTCAGTGCGTATATACACGAATAAATAATAAACAAGGAACATAAAAAACAAAAAATAATAAAAACCATTAACCGATCAATGCAATAGTGGTTTTCATTCCCACCTATATTACCCCACTAATACCTTAAAAAAAAAAAAAAAAAAAACTAACTCCTAAGCTACTAAGAAAAATAGGTAAAGCCTTGTCTTCCCCAAAAAAAATAAAAAAATAAAAATAAAACAACCTCTACTCTATACACAACTCTTGAACTTGCACACCTCACCTTGTCAAGCCATAAGTAAACAATTCATTTCTTTTTAAACATGCTCAAATATTTGTTAGAATTAGTGGGAACCATCAGTAAGCAGTTCATTTCTTTTTAAACATGCTTAAATATATGTTAGAATTCGTGGGAACCATCAGTAAACAGTTCATTTCTTTTTAAACAGGCTCAAATATATGTTCATTTCTGTTTAAATATGCTCAAATATATGTTAGAAAGAGAGCACAACAGTGGTTCAAGTCGAAGCTTTACATCCACGGATCCAAAGCCTAACTGGCTACATCTTCACTTTTGGATGAATGTTTACATAAATAAGTACTTCTCTTTTGGATGAATGTTTGCATCAATAAGTACCTCTATATATAGAGGACGATTACATAATTACTATATAGAAGACGCTTACACAATTACTGGATAAATATGGTATGATTATTGGAGATAGGTAAATTGTAGGACTTATCACCAAACAGGACGATTACACAATTACCATAGATAAATATGGTATGATTCTTGGAGATAGGTAAATAGTAGGAGGCCTTATCGAATATCGACTATGGTAGGGTTCTTATCACCAAACTAACTTGACATTTATCTTCTAGCTTCTAGGTACCTAATCTTATCAAGAGATATATACTCATAGATACCTAATTTTATCAAGAGATATATACTCATAGCTAACTAATCTTATCAAGAGATATATACTCATACATCCATAATGATGTATATCAATATGAACTCGAAATATCCATATCCTAACACACACTCTCAAACTCAAGATGCTTTATTATAAAACAGTTGTAGTTTGAACAATACCAAGTTGTTAAAAATGAGTAGTGATCAAATCCATTTTAAATTTCACAGGTTACCATCGTCTTCCAAACAACAACCTTTCTTGGGCTCTCTAGTTTCTTCTAGAGATTTTCTCTCTCTCTCGTCTTTCAAGAAACAACCGACTTTCTCTCTCTAGGGTCTTCCAAGAAACAATCTTTATTGGGTTCTGTACTTTATTCTAGAGACTTTATCTTCTATAAGGTTTTTTTCCCTGAGAGAGAGATTTTATCTTCTATAAGGTTTTTTCTCTGAAGATTTTCTCTCTCAGAGGTTTCTTTTCTTTCTGGAGGCCTTCTCTCTCTAAAGAAGAGGATCTTTCTTTCTCTTTTCTTCTTCTCCCTTTAGAAAAATGATGACTTTCTCTCTCCTCTCTTCTATGCGAAAGAAGGCTTCTTATATTTTTTCCAATACACCAAGAAGAAACAACAAGCCATCGGAACAGTTTCGGGATCGAGTAACAAAAAACTTGATCATCATATAGGATGGAGTAACGGAAAACTCCATCATCCAATAGGATTGAGTAATGAAAAACGCAATGATCAAACATGATCAAGTAACGAAAAACTTGATCATCAACAAGGAGAAATTTGTTCGTCACACAGGATGGAGTAACGTAAAACTCCATCATCAAATGGGATCAAGTAACGAAAAACTTGATCATCAACCAGAATCGAGAAATTCAATCATCAAACAGGAGGAGAGTCAACAGAAATCAAGTGGCAACGAATACTGAAGATTGGTGAAAACTTTTCATTGAAAAATCTTCTAATCATGAATGTGTTCCCCCTGAATGTCATTACATCAATGGTATGACGAAGTTCTCTGCTTACATGGCGAGGAGCTAGGAGCAAATAACGTACGAATACTGACAAGAACTGATGTTTTTATTCATATAGAGGTTACATTAGAGATGTTGACTTCATCTCTCTACTCATCATATCTCCATATCTCCTATATTCTCTCGCATCTCCATATGTCTTATACTCTCCCATTCAAGTTGGGTGTGATGTGGATGTGAAGAAACACCCAATTTACAAAATGCTTTTTTTTTTTTTTTGAGTCCCTTGGGGTATGCGATGGCTGGAAAAAAAACAAGGAGGAAAACGTATGAGCCTCCTCCTTATGGAAGAGGCTTGGTGAACGTGACCAAGGCACGTCTTTAGAAAAAGGAAGGCCAACTCCTGGTTTGAGTCCTTGTAGTGCTGATAGGGTGATGCCCAAGAGAAGATCATCGAGCCAAGTGCTTCCATGAAGGAGCCGGCGGCTTTGGTGGAGGCTCTTCTTATGGAGCCATAGAAATATGCATAAATCGCATCAATCTAATAGGGTGAACCATGAACCAATGGCTTCTTCTGCCGTTGATGAGAGAGAGGGGTACGCTATGTGCTACCATCCTTGATGATGAGCATAATGATGATGGTAATGATGGTTATAATCGCTGATGATGGTGAGCATAATGATGATGGTTGTGGTGATGGGGTTCTTCTCCATGTGAAAATGGGGCTGAATTGGTTGACAAGTCACACAAGAATTTACATAGCGAGGTTTTGCAAGCGAACAATGTGATAAGGTCACTGAACTCTTTTTCTACAGTGGCCCATATTTCTGGCATGGGACTGAAAGTGATTCCAGCAATTTCAATGTACTCATGCCTTCCGGTATTGAATCTCTCTACAAAATATTGACCATCGAAGGCCTACGTGAACTTACTTGCCTGCATGTGCTTGATCTCAATTATAACCGCATCTCTCACATTGGCCAAGGGCTATCAAATTATACACTGATGAAAGTGCTCTGATACCATATTAGAATTCGTGGAAGCATACATGCACTGACATTGAATGGAGAGAAGAGAAGAGAGAACACAATAGTGGTTCAGGTCGAAGCCTTACGTTCACGATTCCAAAGCTCAACTTGCTACATCTTCACTATTTTGGATGAATATTTACATTAATAAGTACCTCTATATATAGAGGACGATCACACAATTATCGAATAAATATGGTATGATTATTGAAGATAGGCAAATAGTAGGAGGCTTTATCACAAAACTAACTTGACGTTTATCTTCTAGCTTTTAGATACCTAATCTTATCAAGAGATATATACTCATACATAATGATGTATATTAATATAAACTCGAGATATCCATATCCTAACAATATAACCTCTTTATCTTGACATAGATTCATAGTTGCTTTAATCAACTTTTGCAATTTCCGAAGAACATTTTTGTGCCCTTTACACCAGCTTATCACTATCAATGAATCACCCTCTATAATAATTTTCTCTCCCATGCTTCCTATCAAATTAAGGCCCTTGAACAACTTAAGCTCTACTTCATAAGCAGTTATCAGTCGAACATGACCACAGTTCTTCATTAGAACTCTCCCTTCACTATCTCTCTTAATCCCACCAATTCCTTCATTTTTCAGGATTTCTTATTGAGCTCCTATCGAAATTAAGTTCAATACCCATAGTCAATTATATACCATTTTATCGCTTTCACTATTAATGTTTAACGGGTGCGGTTTGTATAGAGCCAACGCTCTCGACAATCAAAATAAAGTGCGCCTTCAAATGGTGTTGAGAAATGTGGTTTCAATATTGAAAATCTTTGTTATTAACCTTAAAATATATCCTCATATTTAATAATAAAATTTCAAGCTTAAAAAATAATGTAGATCGAGTAGATCTATGAAAACTTGAAAATTGACAGTCCAAAAATGCATTACAAGACGTATGATTTCTAAAACTTGAAATCCATTTTTGCTCATGTCCATGTATCTTGATGTCAATATGATCATTTTCAGGATATTTAAGTATCAAAACAACATTTTCTAGTGAAAATTTTGAGGTGCCATCTAATTTGATTGTTTAGATCCTCCACTCTATAAAAAGTTTTTCCATATTTAAAACATCTAATTCTCCCATTTCTCTCTTTCCTTCAAAGCTTCTCCCATTTCTCTCTTTCCTTGAGAGATTCTTAAATACATTCTTCCAACCCATTATCACTGTCTAGAACATTCCCTATGAACAATTCAGCAGCCTAATTCGTACAACTTCTCCACATTCTGAACGCATAAGGGCAGTGAGTTATTTACTCATTGACACGAAAATAAATGGAAAAATATAAAAAGCTCCATTTTCTTTGTGTAATACACTCAAGGTTTGTCAACTTGTATCCTTTTTTGTTTTTCTAAATTGCCCCTATATTACCAACATTGGATGGATCTTACATTATTATTATTATTATTATTCTCACTTCAGGGATTGTTCGATGCCCCGAACTTTGGACTGCTTAGTCCAATGAGCCGTCCAAGGTTCAAGGCCTCAGATCACTGTCCTGTGGCAATAGCGTGCAGAACTATCAGGTTCGGACCATTTAAACTTGCAGTCTGATGTTTAGGACATTGGATCGGCCACAACCTCACCAAAAATTGAGCAAAACGGAATTAAGAAACTGATATAATGTTAAAAACATTAGATCAAGAGTAAATTTGGGAAAAAATATCAGGAATTGACCGATCTCTTGCGCAATTTTTGTAGAAAAATAAAATTTTTTGTATTTTTTATTTGTTCTCATATCCGTATGTAAATAATTCAAGCCATTCAACAAACTAGTGATCCATTCTCTTAATTATTCTTGCATATAACACATGCATTTGGCATTATTTTCTTTCCTTTTTTCTCAGCAGCCAGAGAAAAAATCATTTAATTATTTACAAATAAAAAGAAGAAGATTATAGCACTCGGTATTCCATTCACTAATGTTGTGTGATGCGCATGCATGCAGGCGATGCAAAGGTTGAGGCCCCTGACCGCAGCGAGTACTTTGTGGGGCGTCTCAGGGTCCCTCCCCAAAGCCTTCCCACGCTGTTGGAGCTCCCATGGCACCTGCAGGAGCCACCACCGCACCACTCTCGCATTCCCCTTGCCAGGGACGTCTTTGCCGATCTGCCCTCTCCTTCAAGACACTTCTTCTTTGCCCCCTCTTCCGACTGCAATTGCCGTTCTTTCACTTATGAAGTTCTCGGCCCCCTCGTTCGTCCCCACATTGACCCCCTCACCCGCGACTCCTTCATCCCGATCTGGGACGACTGTATCAACCGCCCCATCTCAAAACTCTGCCCTTTCCCTATCACCATTGTTAGAAAGCCTGTCTCAGAATCCTCCTCTTGTACGGACTCGTGGCCCAACCTCACGGCCTTTGTCAAGAACCTCTGCCTCTGGCGCGGTGAGGAAACCGATTGCCTCAGGGAAGGCACTGCCGATCCATCTTCGTCTATCGTGGACAAGAGCTCCTGGACCTTCGGTGATCTCCCTTACATTCTTGGCTACCATGCTGTTGGGTACACAGTCACCTTCTGCGCATTCAGCAGGGTGCAGGATAGGATAGCACGAACCGACCTTGTTTCCATTGATCTGTCCAATCCAGCTGAGCGGCTTAGGGCTCTCGTCGCCTGCTGGCGAGTTGCTGGGATCCTAGCGCTGCTTGCGGATGCATGCGGCACCAGCAGCAGTACTAGTGTGTACAGCGACTTCGAGCGTGTGGACCGTGGAAATGGCAAAGTGGTGGAGCTCACCCCAAACCGAGTGAAGAAGTATTTCACGAGCCGCCGGTGGTGGGCATCCGTGAGGGAGGTTTACAACTTACTAGACCGCCAGTTGCCGCATGCGGAGTACATGGTTGATTCGAGCGAGCGTGAGCTGGCAGTCATCTTCGAGCCACGGGGTCACTCAGTGAGGCCGAGCAATGGAAAGCAGCTCATGGAGGCACTGGCATGCGTGGCGAAGGCCCTAGTGGCGCTGCACGACCTGTCATTTATGCACAGAAGCCTTGGCTGGGAGAGCGTGGTGAAGAGGGCTGACGGGGACGAGTGGTTTGTGGTGTACCTCGATGAGGCGGCAGCAGCGCCGCAGATGTACCGGCATGGCGAAGTGGGTTCAACTGGGCGTGCTCCTGAGATGGGTTGCGGAGCCCACGGGGTAAAGGTAGACATTTGGGGGTTTGGGAATCTCCTAAGGACGTGTGGGTTTGCTGTGTCCCATGTCCTCAAGGAGCTGGAAACCAGGTGCCTCGATCGGAACCCGGAGCAGCGACCTACGGCTGCCGACTGTTACCACCAATTGCTCCAGATACAGTCTTCTCTTTCCACTTACTGAATTAACCACAAAATTTCATTATATTTCTCTCTCTAAAATAAATCTGATCCCGTTCTATCTCTCTCGCCCTTACAAATTCATCAGAGAAATTTAACGTCCGTATTAGTTTTTTGAACTCTTTTGACGAGAAGGGACCAAAATAGCCCGTTGTTACTGTAACGGCTCGATGAAATTTTTAACTTTGCCTCTTGTCCGATTTTTTCATTTCGATGAAGTTTTTAAATTTTTGACAAATTTGCCTCTCGTCCAAACTTTTAATTATTGGACCGCTTGGTCATCTCAATTCCCCATTTAGACCTAATTTTTTGCCCCTTTAGACCTATTTTTTTGACCGGTGGTTTGACATTTCTAAACTTAGACTTCACAATTATTTTAAACCACTGGTTGTTTGACATTTCTAAACTTAGACTTGAAAATTTTTTTAAAGGTTTAAATCGGTCTGCAATTTATCACATTTAAAAAGGTTTAAAGCGGTCTGAAATTTATCCTCTGTCTTTTGGAAATTTAAGGAGGTTCAGACCTCATTTTTCTTGAATGGGTTAAAGATGTTTTAGTAAACACGAACTGCGTTTAGACCTCAATTTTTTAAAGTTTAAGATAGCCATAAAATCAAGAAAATAAATTCTATATACGCTTAAATTTATATCATATTTTTGGATATCACATAAGTCAAATAACACCGTACGGATGTAATTTTCCCTAATCATAAACAAAGCAGTACAATAAGCAATGAAATTAGCTGGTTTAAACTAGGCAATTCGAACCTTATTCCACACGATCTAGCTGGTTTAAACTAGGCAATTCGAACCTTATTCCACACGATCTGAAAAGCGAATCTAAACTGGATCGTTTGGTTTTGGGTTTTGAACAGTTTTCACAAAATTGAATCGAAACGGTTAACCGGACATGGGTCCGGAAGAGGTTTAACTAGTCTAATTGGTCAACTAGCTGATTCAACCGTTCTAATCGGACAAGTTTTAGGCAGTAAAAAAAGTGTTAAAAAAAGATAAAAAAAAAATTTATTGATATATGAAAAGTACATAAACAATGATCAAAATAAAACACATTCAAATAAAGTTTAAAATTAAGGAAAATAATCGATTTTAATGAATTGATTTGTGCTATTTTTAAAAGTGTGTATTTGATCAAAATAATTTTTAATCTTTACCATAATGTAAAGAATATTAAAAAATACATTACAAACCAAATTCTTTATTTAAGGGAATTTATATAAATTTTTTTTGATTTATTTTTTTTTAGTGATCACCAAAACCGATCGAAATCAAAACCGGCTAGTGGTCGATTTCGATCTAATCGGTGGTTTGTGATTAGATCGCCAGGTTTTTTTCCAACAATAGCTTTGAAACACTGCAATATAAATTAGCAGAGGCATTGGCCAAGTGAGAGGATGTTCCATTAAAGCGCGCGCAGCTTCTACCCCACAACACCCCTGAAACCCTTAGTTCCTCTCTCCCGGCACTTCCCTGATCCATACTGAAAGTGCCGGGATCTTCCCCAGTGCAATAGATACCTTTGTTGGCGTCGCTGAGACACGTTGTGGTCAGAACCCATCCCAATCTCATTAAGGGTTTCTATTCTCACAGTGGTAATCATCCCCTGCAACGTCTGTACCATCCACGTTGCCTTCCGACACTTTTCAGTAGCTGAGGGCCTGCTTCTTTTCTTACCTTGCTTTTTAGGCATCTTTTTCATTTTCTTCACCACTTTGCCGTGGCCGCTTACTCCATCTAGAACCACATCTTGGAAAGGGTCACGCCTTATCCACGACGAGCCCAGCTCGCTGCAAGAACCCGGTCCTTTACTGATTTGATCTTCTGGGCGCTCCTTGATTCTCACCGGAATTGCTCCTTTGATCAGTTTCTGATCTAATCCCAAAACCCCTCAACTCGTCCCAAATCTCAAAGCCCCTCAACCACTTGTCTAGCCGCATCATTGTTCTCAAAATTGCCTGATCTAACAGCTAACTGTCCGGCTAGATCATAACTAGTTTCGGTTTTGGGTGGTTAGGGTGATCAACCAGTAGTTAAAAAAAAAAGAAATTTCAAAAATGTATATAAATTTTAAAAAGTAAAGAATTTGATTGGTAATACATTTTTAAATATTATTTATATTGTGGTAAAGATTAAAATTTGTTTTGGTCATTAATACTCACATTTATATTTTCTCATTTTTTTTTGAAAATTTTAAAAATAGCCTTTAAAAAATATAAAATGGGTTAAATCCATTTTTTCATTAATTTTCAACTTCATTTGAATGTGTTTTGTTTTAATCATTTTTTACATGCTTTTCATATTTTAGTAGATTGTTTTTTGCATTTTTTTTTTTAATTTGTAACACTTTTTTGACCGCCCGGGACTTGTCCGGTTAGAGCGGTTGAATTGGCCGGTTTACCAGTTAGGCTAGTTAAACAGCTTCCAGGCCCATGTCTGGTTAACTGTTCCGGTTCAATTTTACGAACACTGAGCCACATAGATCTCCCCCATCTACTCTTATTTGAAACCTTTAAATTTGACCATTTGAAACCTTATATGAAAAACACATTTTGAAGAACCAACCAAAAAAAATTGTGTGTTCTGCCCTTCTGAAGAAGAATCCTTTTGCCTTTGAACTATCAACATTTGTCAAGTCTCAGATCCCCTATGATAAATCCTCTAAAACAAACAAAAAAAAAGAATTGAAAAAATACTATTAAGATCACTAGATCTTTCTGAAAATGGGTTTGAAAAATTGCAATGTATGACATATTTGAAATCAACCGGCCTTTGAGTAATACTCCAAAAAATCCCTCTGAAATATGATTTCAAACCTTTGGTGGTCACGTTCATAGGTCCACATATGTCACTATGAATGATTTCCAATACGCTAGTAGCTCTTTTTGCCATGGTGGTATTTTTTCTTATTAGTTTTCCTTGTATACAAGACTCGTACACTTTCGATAAATCTCCCTTATAATTATGAAGAATCCCGTTCTTTTTAATCTTTCATTTCATTTGATATTAATGTGTCCTAACCTCATATGTCATAAGGTAGCATCTAATTCATTAGGAGACGATACATAGGCAACGTTCTCTTTTATTTCAATAGTAAATAGCCCGTCTACAAGTCGTCCAGTCATGATCACATCTTTCCCCTTCTTGACCACCACTTTCTCCCCAATAAAAATGTTTATGAATCCAACCATAGACATCTTGGGAATTGAAACCAAGCACTTCCTCATATCAGGACCATAAAGTACTTGTTTTAGGATTAAGGTGCTCCCACTCTTTAGTTTCAACTCAAAATCTCCAACTCTAAGTACATCAGTCTTCTGATTTTCTCTCATATAAATATGTTGCTGTTGTGGCCCCATGGGAGTGAAAGAACGGTAACCTTCTTTGGTGTTTATGACATGAGACGTAACCCCCTAGTCAAGACACCAAGAAGCTTCCTTGGGGTCAACTAGCATGGACTCGAAAACCACACATGCCAATTCCTTGTTAGTTCCACCAGATTTGTTGGACCGACAATTATTGACTATGTGGCCTACCTTCTTGCAAATAAAACAAGTTCGTGTCTCTCTCTTTGCTTCCTTATTTCTAAAATCTCTTCTTTGAAATGTCTTTTCTTCTCAAAAGTATTTCTTTCCTTTCCTTTCTTAAATTTAAAAGATGGTTGATATTTTACCATATGCACAGCATCCCTTGGGGTTCCCCTTGAACTCCTAATTTCTTCTTCAGATTTGATGGTCGTGATGAGTTCTTCCAATTTTGGTGTCTTTCTTCTAGCAAAGATGAAAGATATGAAAATCTCTTATGAATTAGGAAGAGAATTCATTAAATGATTCACTTGCATAGATTTATTAGGCTTCATGAATGTATCTTCCAAATCTCTAACTAGCGTACGAAACATGTGCACATGATATGCGAATTTGGTACCTTCTACCATTTTTAAATCACTGTACATTCTCATAGCCATAGTTTGATGAGAGAGAGTTCAACATACTCTCTTTCAAATTTATCAAAAATCGCACTTGCAGTGTAGATTGACTCGTACTTAGAAACATACGAGTCAGTCATGGCACATAAAAGAATGTGTTTGCATATCAAGTTCATCCTCTTCCTGTTGGCATACTCATCTTTGATTATTTGATATGAGTCGTCAGTTGGACGATGATGTCGGTCCTCAAAGAGTACCTCATGCAAGTTTTTTTCATAGAGCACAAATTTGATTTTTCTTTTCCATGAAGCAAAGTTGGCCCCATCAAACCTTCCGATTTTTAGGATTTCAAAAATGAAGGTATGAGCAGCCATTATTTTATATTCTCAAGCAAAAATAAGAAAAGACTCGTAATGGCAGTCAACTAAAACTAGTTCTGATACCAATGAAAGAAAGACCTATGTAATCTTTTGTCGAGGAAATGCAATTTTTTTTTTGAAATAATAATCACCCTTTATAATTTTAGCAACAAGATCACTCATAGATAGTCCTTTTACAAACAATAAAAATTCCAAAAAAATTAAATAACACATCAATAAAATAAATCTCAACTACTTGATGTCATTCATACAATCTAATACTGTGCTTGAGAATATAAAATAAAAGAACAAACAATTAAAAGATAAAGATGTCAGAGATTACCTTAATCGGGCTTTTTACACCCCACACCGAGTCACCACATCCAATGACACGGGATCATCGGTCTTGCTTCAGTCTTGAATCGGGAAAGCTAATTTCGGCCAAACTAGGTCACCACCCTTAAATATCTACAAAACCCTAACTCCAAAATAATTAGGCTCAAACCCTAATTTTCCCAACCCTTAGATTAGATCATGAGAGAGAGAGAGAGAGAATATGGGAGAGAGGGGCGTGACCCTTAGGGAAGAGAGACAGATTTCATGGAAGAGAGGTGTGTGTTGAGATGGGGGGAGAGCACCATTTATAGTGAAATTTAGGTGGGTTTCCATAGTTTGCCTTTTCTTTGAGATTGAATATGAACCGTT